AATCAGAACCAACTCAGCGACACCTAACAACAACAGCAACAACAACAATCCAGGTCCTGATAGAAGAATGGATTAACCTTTTTTTTTAACTGGGTATCTTGCTCTTCTATGTGAAAAAATCCACTGAAGTTCCAGATTAAGTACAGACCTCTAGATACTATGGATCGAATTGTTTCCCACCCCCAAATATCTGTTGATGTCCTGGCTCTTGTATCTATGGATGTGATCCTTTTTGGAAAAAGGGCTTTCATTCATTATGGTTTTAAGGTAATTCCAGTGTAAGGTAGGTCCTAAATGCACTCTGAGTTATAAAACGACCAAAATAGACCAGAGACACACACTAGGAAAAGACAAACACCAAAGACAATCACATACAAGCCAGTGTATACCAAGGAACCAAGGACCATCCAGGGTTACAGACAAGGATGGCAGGAAGTTCCTAAAAGCCGAAATAGACAAGGAAGACGTTTATCCTTGAGCTATCCTGAAGCGTGAAAAAAATAATTTTAATCTTAAAACCACTCATTTTAGCAGTTGTGTTGTGGCATCACTAAGTAATTAAGACACTCTGGAAACAAAGCAGAAATGACCCTGGTATTATGCCTGGCTCACGTTCCTTGAACGAAGATGAGTTCTTTTCCACCCCTTCGTGGAGGAACTGCACACATGCTAGCTCTCTTTCAGGCATTCCCCACTCCTCCTTAAAGGCAATAGTACATCTAGTGCCACTGACTATGAGAAGAACAGTAACTCACTACTGTTTAGGGAAGTAGGTAAACACAGCTGGCTGTCCCAAGTTTTACAGGAAGATCATTTGCATCATTAGTTTGGGTGGGACACTTCCGGTTCTTAACTATTTCTCCTGAGAAAGATTGTCTGAGGTTGTGCACTGTTGTTTCTTCTAAGGAAACCACGTAAGAAGAAATCTCTTCTGGCCTTCCTTCCTCTCTCTTCTCTGCCCCTTCCCTTTTCTCAGATACCATTGCCACTAAGTCTTGTCGGCTTATTCGGGTGACAATGAAACTACATATGGCAGTAGAAGAGGGCATTCAAATTCAACCTTTTTACTCCTGAGGCAACAGAAAAAAGCACAGCCTTGGCTTCAAGCCTCATCCTTTTGAAACAACAAGAGCCAATTAAGCTGGGTGCATCATGAAAATATTACTGTTAGTTGTTATTGTTAAGTGCCATCGTATTGGTTCCGACTCATAACGACTCTGTATTGGGTTTCCAAGAAGCGATTGGTGAGCTTGAGCTGCCGATCTTGCTGTTCAAACCTACCTTGCGGTTCAACGCATTAACCTGCATCACCATGCCAGAACTCCTCCTCATGAGAATAGGTTGTTTTTGTTGTTAAGTGGGTTCAGACGCATAGGAACACTGTATAGGGTTTCCAAGGAGCAGCTGGTGAGCTTGAACCACTGACCTTGCAGTTCAAATGGCTTTGCAGTCTGGGGCATTAACCCTCAGCGCCACACCAGGACTCCTTTAATTCAGTGGGATCCACATTAATTTTTAAATGAGAAGACACTATTACCACAAGTCTATAGCCAGGCCTCCTAGATCTGAAATCCCCTTAAAACCCATTTCTGAATCCCCACCTTCTCACCCCATCTTTACACACACACCTGTTAGATTCTAATCAGCCTCAGGAGAAACTCTAGAAAGAGCTGAATTTATGTAAAAGAAACTGCTGTAATGGTCATTCACTGTCTTTTTTCTCTCTTCTTGCATAGAGTTGTTTACTCTGGATATTTTTCTTTCTCCTCCTTTCTCTTTTTCTTATTTCTTCTTCCACATCCCTTTCATTACTTTTCCTGTCTCATTCTGCCTTTCACATTCCTTCTTCCTGCTGCATAGCTTTCTGTTCATTTCCTCAGCATACCTTTCTGTTCATTCAAGTACAGCATATTTGTTGAGAACCTTTGATGTACCAAGCACCTTGCTAGGCTCAGGGAATACAACAGGACACACATAGTCACTGTCCCTATGTAATTTGTATGGATAACATTACATTAGTATATGGACAAAAATTAAATAAATACACAAATTTAATCATTTCGAAGTGTGATGATTTCTACAAGGGAAACAAAAAGAACACTGGGTAAACATCAGAGGAGTGGAGAACACAAAGTAAGATCCAGTGGTCAGGAAAACCCTGTCTTAAGCTGAGACTTAAAGACTAAAAGATGTAATTAGCTGTTAGCAATTGTGCCTAGTAAAGTATTATGAGGAGAGGAAACAGAATCCTGTGACCAAAATGAATTTGGTTTATTCAAGGATTGTTAAAGAAGGGTAGGGGGAAGCCATAAGACATTATTATGAGATATGAGGGAAAGAGTTGGCTTAAAGTTTGGATCAAAAACACAATACATTGAAGAGACTGTAGTCCAGAATGAGAAATTTGTTTTAATTCTAAAGAAAGTGACAGGATTCCTCTTAGGTTTAGGAGATTAACTCTTGGGACAATGCAAAAAATAAATTGGAAAAGACTGGAAGAGGGGAGGCCACTTAGGAGGCTATTGGAGCAATGTCAGCCAGAGACGGTGTCCTAGACTAGTGTGTCAGCAATGGAGACAGAATAGTGGCAAGATAGAGTTTATAGGTAGAAGTTAGGTGTTAGGAGGGATGTAAAGGAGAAATCAGGGATGACTGAGTGACAGGATAATATTTTGGTTTGGGTTTGGTTTTCCCTGCAATGGGAAGGGTGGAGTTCAGAAACAAACTGAGATTCCCTGCGTTTGTTTGTTTGTTTCCCAAGCTTCAGATACTAGTGTATAGCTCCTAGCTCTACCCATTAGTATTTATTCATTCATTAGACTTGTAAATAGTTACTGAATATGCTATGATGAATAAGATAAATGTGATTCCTGTTCTTATAGAACTCACCTTTAAATGGGGCAAAATAGAAAAATAAGATACAGAAGCAAGATAATTTCCTGATAGTCAAAAAATGATAAGAAGGGGGTCAATAAGGCAATCTAAGGGAATGTTTGAGGGTTAATAAAAGGAGCGCTGATAACGTAGTGGTTATGAATCAGGCTGCTAACCTCAAGGTCGGCAGTTCGAAACTACCAGCGGTTCCACGGGAGAAAGATAAGGCTTTCTGCTCCGTAAAGATTTGCCGCCTTGGAAACCCTGTGAAGGGTCACTATGAGTCAGAACCCACTCTACAGTACTTAACAACTACAACAACAACAAGAAGCAACTTTATTGTGTGTAGGGAAGGCTTCTCTGTTAGAGGTAGCATTTGACATGAGACCCGAAGGATGAGGAAAAGACAGGACTGCAAATATCTGGACCGAAGATAATATTGATTGTAATCCTCACCATGCAATCCCATCTTCCCACATCCTTGCTGTGTTTACCATTTCCATTTGTCTTTCTTTTGTATCCCTCCCTGCTTTCTCAGCTCTGTTGTTGTTAAGTGTCATCAAGTTGGTTCCAACTCATAATGACCCTGTAGGAGTGGCTAGTGAGCTTGAAGTGCCGACCTTGCAGTTCAAACCGACCTTGTAGTCCAGTGAGCTAATCATAGGAGATCATTTTGATCTCATATGGTTGATTGTTCTAAGCAGTATATATCTCCCTCATGTTATTGTTCACTTTATTGTTGTTGTTAAGTGGCACTGAGTCAGTTCCCACTCATAGTAATCCTGTATAGGGTTTCTGAGGAGAGGCTGGTGGGTTTGAACTGGCAATTTTGCAATTAGCAGTCCAGTGCTTATCCTACAGTGTCACAGTAGGACTCTTATAGACCTATCAATTGTTTGGCTGGTGCTCTGTAAGTTAATCACTGGACCACAAGGTCAATTAGAATTGCAAGGTTGGCAGTTCAAACTCACCAACCACTCCTCAGAAATACAACACAGGTTTGCTATGACTCAACAACATTTAACAATAAAAAGGAAATAAATTATTTTACTGAAATATAGTTCTATCCAGAGTCCTGGGTAGTGCTATGGGTTAATGTGCTGGATTGCAAGGTCAGTGTGAACTGCAAGGTTGGTGGTTCAAACTCACCAGCTCCTCCTTGGAAGCCTTATACAGCGTCACAATGAGTTGGAACAGACTTGACAATGCTGAACAATAACATAGTTCTAGCCACGTGTCTCTGGGCATCCATTAAACTCAGTTTAGATTTTTGTGGGCCATGTGGTTCCAACTCAGGCTGCTAACTTCAAGGTCAGCAGCTCGAAACTACCAGCTGTTCCGCGGGAGAAAGATGAGGCTTTCTGCTCCCGTAAAGATTTACAGCCTCGGAAACCCTGTTCAGGGTCGCTGTGAGTCGGAACCGACTCTACGGCACATAAGCAACCAAAAAGATATTGTTTTAGGTAATTGTTGTTATTGTTGTCATGTGCCGTGGAGTCGGTTCCAACTCATAGCGACCCTATACAGGGTTTCTGAGGCTGTAAACCTTTACAGGAGCAGAAAGCCTCCTCTTTCTGCCTCCTCTTTCTGCCTCCTCTTTCTCTTGCGGAACAGCTGGTAGTTTTGAACTGCTGACCTTGTGGTTCGCAGACTGATTCTTAACCACTACACTACCAGAGCTCCTTTGTTTTAGGTAGAGTAGGAATAAATTATATGTTTTTTATCAAGGAACAAATACAGTATTATATACATTTCTAAAGGATCCTTTTTATTTTGAGTGGAAGCAGGAAAGCACTTCAGAAGTGACTAAATTGAATAGGCAATAGATGATCTTAGCTTGAGCTTATTGGTCATGGACAAGGACAAAAATGTCTATATCTGAAACAGTGTCACTTCAAACCTGCCTATTAAGAAGCAAGCATCCTCTACATATAGAGGGAAGAAACTGAAATAGGAAGAAGTAAAATAGTCTTTTTTCTTTTCCCAACTGACTTGAAGGTCCTTGACAACAAAAGCCTCTCCTCAGTCCTCTGAAAGTTTCCTTAATAATTCATGTTTAACCAACACTCTCTGAAAGTTGTAACTTGTGCTTATATGAATATATAAGGAGATTTTATTGAACTTACTTGAAGCGAATATGTTTCCAGTAAACCTTAAAAGAAGTTGTTCTCCTTCTCTTAACTGGAAACGGCGAGATGGTTCTGGGGGACCACTGAACCCACCCAAGCGCAAGTTCTGAAGCTCTTGGTTTAAATCTTTATAAGGAACCACTGAAATCACTGCTATCTGTGGATTGTCTTTCTGGTGATTCAGTACTAAGCAGACTGTAGTGCTGAGAGTGGCTTCCTCTAAAGATTTCACAAAAGACACCAAATGACTGTTGTCCACAATGGAAGAGAGGTGAAGCACGATAAACCTGTATGGGGAAAAACACAGATTCAACAACATCTGTCACTATCTAAAATACCCAAGAAAAGGCACTATCATATAAACTTCCTTCAGGATCAAGCGATGTGATGACCTAATGGTTATATGTATTAATGACGTTAGAGAAACTCTGGTGGTGGTGGTGGTGGTGGTTATGTGCTGTGGAGTCGGTTCTGACTCATAGCGACCCTGCATAGGGTTTCTGAAGCTGTAAATCTTTATGGGAGCAGAAAGCCTCACCTTTGTTCCACGGAACCACAGGTAGTTTCAAACTTCTGACCTTGAGATTAGCAGTCTGAGTCATAAACACTATGCTGCCAGAGATCCTTAGAGAAACTCTGGACAATTACAGATTTTTGATAGGGTGAGAAAGATGTTGAAACTATTTACTACATTTGGTAAGTAAGCACAAATCAGCCTGTCATTACCTTGTTTATTAGGTAATGGGCCCCTGATATGATTCAAATAGTTGTCTCTTGTTACTGTCTGGTAAAAATGTTCTGATGAACCCTTTTCCTTGGAATGGACTACTCATCCCCCAATTCTCCAAAGAATTTCCTTTGCCTGTGGGATTTCTCTTACCCAAGGCAGTCATATCCCATGGTCAACCCCTAAATAATTAAGGGTGTAAAATCAGCCTTCTTGGTAGTACTACTCAACCTCCAATGTTGCCCAAAAGTATCAGGACCAAATTAGATTTCACCTGAAATCATATTTTTGCCTCATCTCTGCCCTTGCTCTATTTGCTTCCTTTATTCCCTTACATGATTCACCGGAGGGCAGTCTTCACTAAATCGCTTACACAGGCATTCTCATGTCACGTTCTGTTTCTAGGGATCTGGATGTAAGACAATTACTGATATAGATCTCCCACTGTGAAATAAAAGCACTGTCTTTAGACAAGACTCCCTCCCCTTACTAGTATATATTCCTCACTCTTCACCTAACAGGCTATCTAGAAAATATGCAAATGAGAAAGCAGAATGAAGGCACGGAACTAACAAATTGAGTTGTACATACGCAACTACAAGATGAGCATAATATGAACAGTTAATTATTACCTCCATGGCATTTCAAAAATGAAGGTGCTGTTTTAAACTATTTTGGAGTTGAAGAAAATCTGTAAATATTAATCCAAGTGATGAGAAGTTTCTAAAAACACTTATTAAACTATCATTGAATGAAATTGGAACTCTGGTAGCGTAGTGGTTACGAATCGGGCTGCGAACCTTAAGGTCAACGGTTCAAAACTACCAGCTGCTCCGCGAGAGAAAGATGAGGCTTTCTACTCCCGTAAAGATTTACACCCTCGGAAACCCTGTACAGGGTCGCTATGGGTCGGAACCGACTCGACGGCACTTAACAACAACAACAACATATCAATTCTGGCTTACATTTTAAATGCATCCTAGAGGATTGTTCATATTTCTATTTAAATGATACAAATCTAGTTTTATGATTCCATTTCTGTAACATCAACTACAGACTATCAGGCTATTATATTACCAACTTTTATTGTTCACAATTACATTACCTCTCTAAATGTTGAAACAATTCAAATGATACCAAGCCACTCTGCGTTGTTCTCACCACAACATCATCAAGCCCAAACCAACCACCATCTTGACTTCTGAATCCTAGTAATTTCAAAGATTCACAGGCATTGCTCCCAGGCTTTCTTAGAGAAACACATTTTGTCCTATATAATGGCAGTAGAAGAAAAATTGGTGACAAAGACGCAGTAAAACTCATATTTAATGCATTAATTATTTCATTAAATGAATACTTCAGTAACAATTTATTAAGCAAATATTACATGCCAGTCATTATGTTATGCATCAGGAATACACAGCTGAGAAATAAGGAACTTTAGTGGTGTTATTGGATAAGTACTGATCTGCTAGCTGCAAGGTAAGCAGTTCAAATCTACCAGCTGCTCCATGGGAGAAAGATGAGGTTTTCTCCTTCAGAAAACATTTACAGCATTGAAAACCCTGTGTTGTTGTTGCTGTTGTTAAGTGCCGTCAAGTTGATTCTGACTCATAACAACTTGTATAGCGTTTCCAAGGAATGGTTGGTAAGTTTGAATCATTGACCTAATGGTTCAAACTGACCTTGTGTTCCAGTGCTTTATCCCAGGACTCCTCAGAAATCTTAAACAGGGTCACTATTAGTCAGAATGAACTCAATGAGAGTAAGTTTGGGTTTTCAGCTTTTGTTTTTGTTTCGCCCTAAGAAAGTCAGAATATTTATTACAAACAGTTGAAAGGTTGATGTTTTGACTCACCTAGGGGTGCCTGGAAAGACAGATATAGCAATCTGCTTCTGAAAGGTCACAACCTTAAAAACCTATGGAGCAGTTCTACTCTGTACACATTGGATCACCATGAGTCATAACCAAATCAACAGCATGTAAATACAGCACAAAGTCATCTGTGTGAGAATTAAAGGAATTTGGTTTAGGAGCAAAAGCAAGGTGTCAAGAAAGCTTAAGATGGGCTTTAGAGAATGAGAAGCATTGTACTAGTGGCAAAAGAAGTTAAAGGGAACACAAAAATGTTTACAAACTCAATCATGTAAGCCAGTGTAGTCAAGAATGGTGTTATAGCGTAATAGTTAAAACCACAGATTCTGAATTAAGACTGTCTGGCGCTGTGGGTTAATGCATCAGACTGCAAAGTCGTTTGAACTGCAAGGTAGGTGGTTCAAGCTCACTAGTCACTCCTTGGAAATCCTATACAGGGTCGCTATGGGTCGACATTGACTCAAGGGCACTTATCAGCATCAACAACAAAGTCAGTACTTACTAATTTTATAGATTTATTTTAAGAAAACATGAATAACACTTTTAGTAAGCCCTTATATTAAAAACAAAAATTTATTGACTGAAAACTATTTCCACTACCTCTTTCCATTTTGTCCCCTGATATTTAGTGGTACAAATGATAAAATTGATTTTTTTTCCTTTTTATGTAGTCTGTTGCTGTTTCATGGATGCTTATCGAATTATGTTTTATTTGAAAGTATATACCAAAGAGTTTGCTATGTCATGTCTGAAAATGGGTATTTTCTATACATTTTGTGTGATAATTAATCAACACTTGTTGAATGCTAATTCAAGGATTTAATGACACCAGAAAATTAAATTTAATTATGTACTTGAAACTTTCTCTTAAACATTAAGTAGTTAAAGCAAGTGGAAAAATGATAAAGTCATAGGGATCTTGGTTGAAGGTAGAGAATAGCAGAAGGGTGTTTATCTGTGTTCATTGACTATGAAAAGGCATTCGATTATGTGTATCATAACAATTTGTGGATAACATTGCAAAAAATGGAAGTTCTAGAACATTGAATTATGTTCATACAAAACCTATACGTGGAACCAGAGACATTCATTCAAACATAACAATGAGATTTAGGCTATGGTCTTGGTGAGGAATATTAAATATACCATGTATCATCAGAAGAACAACTAAATCTGTTTTGGGAGAAGTACAGCTAAAATGCACCTTAGAAGTAAGGATAGCCAGCCATCGACTCATCTATTTTGGATCTGGTATTAGGAGGAACCTGTACCTGAAGAAGGCTATCATGTTTGATCAAGTAGAGGGTCAGTAATAAAGGAAGTCCTTCAATGAGCTGTATTGACGCAGTGGCTGCAAGAACAGGCTCAGACAATACTGACTGTGGAGATGGAGATGGACTGTGTAACATTTTGTTGTGTTGTACATGTGTTCACTACAAGTAAAAACCGATGAGATGGTACCTAGCAACAAATGTGCACCTTATTTATTGTTAACATTTTATTTCTGGTTCCATTATATTCCGGAAGGAAATGTAATACACACATATACATAAAATCTTATCAGTGAAATTTTAATGTAATACACACATACACACAGTTATGCATAAAATCTTATTGGGGAGGTTTTAATGTAATACACACAATTATACATAAAATCTTATTGCTGAGATTTTTTTTTCTTTAATTATGAAAATTGGTCCAAGCCCTGATGGAGATAGACTGCAAGGAGGGAGGGGGGTTCAGTCCTCCCTTCTCTTGGGGCCAACCTAGTAGACTAGACAGAGGTGTGATCAATCCTGCCCTCGTCAACCCAGCAGGCACCTCATGTACAGTCTCTGCTCCTCCAGAGTTCACCAGGCATAGTGCCACTGCTTCTAGAGATATGTGGACTTGCCCTGAACTATACTACATAGTAATCAGAGAACTAACTGTGCCCACACGTCCATTCTCTACCAAATCTACCAGGAAATTAGTGGTGAGTGAGTGAGGATATACCAACACACAATAACCAACTAAATATAAATTGTTATTAGGTGCCATCCAATCAGTACCTACTCAAAGCAACCTTATTAACAAAAAAACAAAACACTATTTATACTGCGTCAACCTTAAAATTGTTGCTACGCTTCAGTCCATTGCTGCTGCCACTGTGCCAATCCATTTTGTTAGGGTTCTGTCTTTTCTTTTTCTTTTTTTTTTTCTTTTCTGACGGTCCACTTTAATCAGCATGATACCCTTCTTCAGGGACTGGATGCTTCTGATAATAATTCCGAAGTGTAAGAGACAGAGTCTTGCCATTCTGACTTCTAAGGAGCATACTGGCTGTCCTTCTTCCAACAAAGCTTTATGTGTTTTTCAGATGTCCATGGAACTTTTAAATATTTTCCTACATCATGACTCAAATACATCAATTCTTCTATGGTCATCTTTATTCATTGTCCAACTTTCACATGCATATGAGGTTATCAAAAATGCCATGGTTTGAGTTAGGTGCACCCTAGTCCTCAAACTGACATCTTTGCTCTTCACATTAAAAAAGTCTTGTGCGGCAAATTTGTCTAATGTAATGCACCATTTAATTTCTTGACTGCTGCTTCCATGAGTGCTGATGAATGAACCTAGCAAAATGAGGTCTTTGACAACTTCAATCTTTTCTTCACTTATTTTTATGCTGTTTATTGATCCAGTGGTAAAGATTTTTGTTTTCTTTACATTAAAGGGCAACCCAAACAAATGGCTATGGTCTTTGATCATCAGTAAATATTTTAAATGCCCTTCCTTTTCAGCAGGCAAGGTTATATCATCTGCATATTTCAGGTTGCTAATAAGTCTTCCTCAACCCTGGTGCCACATTTTTTTTTTTTTTTCGTATGATCCAGCTTCATAAATTATTTGCTTTTTACACGGAATGGTTAAGTATGGTGAAAGAATACAACCCTAATTTTTTCCTAATTTTAAGCCATTCATTGTTCCCTTGTTCTATTCAAACAGCTATGCACAGGTTCCTCATGAGTACAATTAAGTGTTCTGAACTATTCATTCTCCATAATGTTGCCCATAGCTTGTCATCATCCACACAATCGAAAACCTTTGTGTAGTCAATAAAGCACAGGTGAATATCTTTCTGGAATTCTCTGCTTTCAGCATGAGGTCAGCAATGGTATCCCTCATTCCACATCCTTGTCTGAATCCACCTACAACTTCTGGTAGTTCCCTGTCAATGTGTATTACAACTGTTTTTGAATTATATTCAGCAAAATTTTACTTGCATAAGATATTAATGATATTGTCCAATGATTTCCACATTCCATGGATCACCACTCTATGAAATGGGCACAAATATAGTTCTCTTACAGTCATTTAGCCAGGTGGCTATCTTCCAAATTTCATGGTATGGATTACTGAGTGCCACCAAATTGTTGAAAATGTCAATTTGTATTCCATCAATTGCCAAAACCTTGTTATTTGGCAAGGCCTTCAGTGCACCTCAGACTTCCTCCTTCAATATCACTGGCTTGTATTATATGTATCTCTTGAAACTGTTGAACATTAAACATTGGTACAACGATTCTGTTTATTCCTTCCATCTTCTTTTGATGCTTTCTGCATCATTAAGTATTTTGCTCATAGAATCCTTCAATATTTCAAGTCGAGGCTTGAATTTTTCTTCAGTTCTCTCATCTTGAAAAATGATGAGCATGTTCTTCCCTTTTGGTTTTCTAACTCTAGGTTTTTGCAATTTTATTATAATATTTGACTTTGTCTTCTAGAACTACCCTTTGAAATTTTCAATTCAGCTCTTTTATCTCCTCATTTTTCCCATTTTCTTTAGCATCTCTAAGATGGAGAGCAAGCTTCAGAGTCTCTTCTGACATCTGCTTTGTTCATTTCCTACTTTCCTATATTTTTAATAACCTTTTACCTTCTTTCTGTATGATGCTCTTGATGTCATTTCACAATTCTGGGTTTTGGTCATTAGTGTCTAATTCATCAAATCTATTCTTGAAATGATCTTTAAATTTATGTGGGATATGTTCCAGGTCATATCTTGGCTCTCATGTACTTGTTTTCATTTTCTTCAGCATCAGCCTGAATTTGCATATGAGCAATATTTGGCATGTTCTACAGTCTGTCCATGGCTTTGGTTTGGCTGATAATATGGAGCTTTTCCACTGTCTCGTTCCAAAGTCAAAGTCAAAATCACTTCTGTGTATTCCATCTGGTGAGGTTCATGTGCAGAGACATCTTTTATGTTGTTTAAAAAGGTATTAGCAATTAGTAAGTCATTGGTCTTCCAAAACTCTATCATACAATCTCCAGCATCATCTCTATCACCAAGGCTATATTTTCCAACTTTGTTGGTCATTCCTCTTTGTTTCCAACCTTTGCATTCC